CCACCCTCTTGAAGAGCTACTCAGGACCCAGTGTGTGAGCTCAGGCCTGGCCTGCCATAAACATTAGCTGTTAGTGCACTTCAAACGCTAACAGATCTATGAGCCTCAAATACCCACATTTCTCTCTTGGTGGCTGTGTGGACACAAGCAGACTCTTCTGAAAATATTAATGCAAAACGCTGGGAGTGGGGGAATAGAAGGGAGGCTTGGGTTAGGGAAGGGAACATCTCAGGCTGCCCCAGGGCTCTCAGAAGGGAAAGGAAGGGGGGAGTATGACAGCCAACCAGGGGCTTTGGGGACATTGAATTTCCCCTCGGGAGTGGGAGAGGGAAGTTAAATGTCATCTTTCCTGCCCAGTTGGGAGACGGTGGGGTTGGCGGCAGAATGGAACAAAAATGGGGGAACCCAGCAGCAGAGTCACCCCCATCCTGACTTCAAAGGCCTCTAGGACACCAGCCGACTCCTTCTCTTCACTGTGTCTCTCCTGCTCCCTCTCTCCTGTTCCCTCAGTAGCAGCCAGGTCCAGCCAACAGAGCTGTGCAGCCCCTGGCTCTTTCTCTCAGGACCCCCGACCTGAACACAGGAAAGTCGGCCTGCACGGTCCTCTGTCCACCCACAAAAGGAAAAGACTCACTCGCTCTCCCCTCCACTGCAGATTCAAGGAGAAATCGATGCAACCAAAAATATCATTTTGATATTACTGCTATCACATCCACAAAAGATTTTTTCCTCTCTAGAAGGAAAAGGAGTCTAATGTATTCCTTCTCTTACTCAGCCCTTGCAGAAATGAATGTCACAATTTCTACTACCAGACTTGTCCGCTTTCACTTAGGGAAAGTTACTCGAGGCCAGTGGAAGGGTTGCGTGGATAGACGTGGGAGCCTTGTGCCCAGATGGGGGTGGGTAGTAGACGTGAAGACACGTGGGGGCATCTAAACTCCCAGGTCCCTGGCAGAGACTTTTGGGCTGTGGGTTTCGAGTCAGAGATCTCATCCCCTGTGTGTGTCTCTGGGGTCACCGTGATGAACTCAAAGAGGGGTCTTTTGCTCAAGACCCAGCCCCACCTAGAACTATACATCGGGTTTTCTCCCTTGTATAAAAAAGGCAGAAGTTTTAAAATCCCTACTCTGTGGAACCCACCGAGGAGGTTCTGGAAAGCTGAGTCACGGGCAGAAGCATTTTCCAGACCTCAAAATGCAGCAAAGTGCACAACTGTCCTGGGGTGCCCCATTGTTGGAAGCGTGACTCCTGGGTTGCTATGGTGATCAGGAAATTCAGAGTCCTTGCAGAAACCATGTCAGGAACTTTTCCTTAGAACTTCGGTCAGTTGCACCCCACGGTGAAGGTAAGCCACTGTCTTTGCTTCCCCCCAGTGTTTTCTTGGTGTGATTTGGACAGGAAGAGTGAGGTGCCTGGGGTCCCACTCTCAGATCCTTCTCTTGGGCTGACCCCGAAAGCCGGACATCCAGTACCAGGAGGCCAGAGAAGACTGACTGAAGAGGAAGAAAAATTAGAGGTCTCGACCAAGCAATCATTTCAGTGACAGATCCTTCCAGTTTAGGGTTTGACTGCCCTAGCCACCCCCACCCCCACCCACTTCCCTTCACCTCCTCAAGGTCATTACTAGAATTATCACTGTCAGCTCCAGGCTTGGTGGCTGCCTCCACCCCCTCGTGTGTACCCCTCGTGTGCACACCAGCTTCCTCTGGAAGCTGTGGCCTGGAGACTTCCTCTCCTGAAAGTTACTCCCAGAAAGAGAGGCGGGAAGGATTCAGAGATCGCTGCCATGCAGACTAAGCTGGCTATTCCAGCATCAAGAAAACAGTGTGTTAGGCTCTCTTGACCCAAGCAGGCCCAAGTTTGAAGGCCCTGATCAGACCTTAGGAATTTCCAAAATTAATAACCTGACTCATTTTGGCCATAGCCTGAATATTGCCCGAGAATCACTGGGCTAGTTTGGAAGATGTCAGGCAGAACTTTCACAAACATGGTTAGGGTCACAGTTGCTGTCTCCTTTGTTTTCTTTGCTGCTATAAATTCTGCATCTCTGCAGTGTAGACTATGAGGAAGACCCACGCGCCTCCCCTCCCCCTTAAATAAAGCGCCTTATGAAACATCGGATCGAATTCTCTCCAGAGGGGATGGGATGCCTTGCTCTGTGAGGCCCAGCTGGCTGAAAAGAGGACCGCGGGCAACCAGAACTGAAGTCGAAGTTTCGTCTAGGGTTTTGAATCTGGCCCTTTGAGCGAGCTTAACACGTGTGGATTTAATTTCCCTTTCTTTCTTGCTCCCCCCCCACCCCCACCCTGTGAGGGAACAAGAAAAATAGTCTGCCCTGTCGACAGCATGACACTGTTCCTTTTGCCAAAGAAAATTTGTCTTTCCTGAGCCTTGGAGAACAGCGGGCTCCCAAGTTAGCAACGGACCCTTCAGTTGAAGGAGGGGGGACCCAGACGGGCCCCTCACCTGCACCCCAGACTGGGGGAATATTAGCCAAAGTCTCTATTTTACAGGGTTACAGCCCTAGAATTTGGTATCCTCCCATACACATTTTTGGGGGTTTGCTGATGGTATGTATTGGTGCGGTGACTACACTGGAAGCCTATCAACAGGTTCTGAGCTGCAGACATGGTTAGAGTTTTCAGGCTTTGTGTAGCCCACAACAAATCCAGGTTCTTTCAGAGAGTACTCTCACCTTTCTATGCTGGGGACTTCCCAAACTGGAGGGGGCAAGAACAGCGACTTTGTTACATCCAAGCACCACCCTCTCTGGAATGATATTCCCTCTTCAGTTTCTTGTGTCATTGCCCTGAACAGGGAAAAAAAAATCTCATCCACCAAACTTGAAGAGTGGGGAGGAATATTCTCTAAGCATGGAACAACACGAACACGGATAAAGTCAGCAGAGATAATAATTCTTGGTGTAAATACTGGAGAATATGGGATACTCAATCATAATAACAACAGCCAGTCTTTTTCCCACATATTTCCGGTCGTGGGGGGGGGGGGGCAGCTAGGAGCCGAATAAAATATTGGGAAGAGAGATACTGTGGTCCTGGAAAAAATATAATGGAGCCAGATTTAACTAGGCAAGAGTGAAAGTGACCCCTTGAGAAACCAGGGAATTTCCCACCCTCGGACTGACCCTTTCTTTTGCAAATGGAGTTGGTCAAAGTTTAGTTTTGTCATCATTTCTATTGTTACCATTCTTATTCATTTCCCCAGTCCCCCTTCCACGTTTCTCTCTACCTTCGGCCTCTTCCCGGTAGCCACCCGGATCAGGTGGGGGATATATTGGGAGAGAAATAGAAAGGGCTGTATTTTTAAACGAGTTCTCTTTAGAGGGGAAAGCAATGGGGCCATTCTGGGTGTGACTTTCTTCAAAACGGAAGGAGAAAGCGAAGAAGGAAAGAGATCAGCGGCGATCGGTCCCTTTGGTTCTAGTTTGGGCTTTTTGATTAGAAATCTCCACTCTCCTATCCACAGCAGTATTACCATCGGCAGGAATTTTGCAAAATGAGAAAAATACACTTCGGGAGAGAACGGAGCCAGGAGCAGGTCCGGGGGAAGCGTCAGAGCTCGGAGGAGAGAAAGCGAGGTGCGCTTGGCAGCTGGCTCTCAAGTTGACCGCCCAAAGATCAGGGCAAAAGATGGGTTCTCTCCGGGCTGGACGAAGCCTCTGGTTTGCTCTATTCGTGGTGCAGGCTCCGGCGCGTCTGGGAACGCCAGTCTGCGACGCTGGGCTTGAATACTTTGTGAGCCGGTCCAGGTGGTTAAGGGCCCGCGCCCGGGATGCGAGAGATACAGCCGAGGGAAGAGGAACTCGCTGCGCTGGGAGTCTGGCCTTTCCCTTCCAGTCCCAGCGGGGCCCGGGCCTCCGTTTCCGGCCCACCCTGGCCCAGAGGTCAAAGAGGAACTCATCTTACGGAACCAGGGTTTGGGCGAAAGATCTCGGGTTGCGTTCCTGGCTTCTGGGAGCAAACGCTGCACCCATTGAGCCTCGGATTTGGGGAAAGATGATTATGAATAACTCGGGAAACGAAAGCGGAGCAGGGGAAAGCCTCCGCAGCCCGGTCGAGAGGATGGTCGCGAGTTCTGCTCTCTGGAGCAGGCGGGTCTGCGGCCCGGCTGGCCCAGGCGCCCGTGGCCGGCGCTGGGAGCCACGGTCCGCTCTCCCCGCGGGCCTGACCTTGGCTCCGGCAGCTGCTGGGCCGGCCGCCTGCGTCCCTGCACGTTCCGCTGCAGCTCCGGTCCCAAGTGGACCGGGCCTGGAGCCAGGCCATGCTTCGTTCGGAAAGCCCTGGGAGCCGGGGACGCGCAAAACCCGGGATCGAACCCCGAAGCCGGGGACAAGTCCAGATTCAGACGTCCAGCTCCCTCGGGCCCCTTGGCGAGGAACTTACCCTTCCGGAAGGCCCGGCGCTCGCTGACTTGGTGCTGGACAGGCCTAGCTCTTCTCTGCGCGCCGCCGGGAGCGTCTACGCGGTACGTTTGGTAACTGAACCTAGCGGGTTTCCAGACGCGCAAGAGCTTGCACGCACCCACCGCTGGGCTGCTTGGAGATTAAGCCCATTGATCAGACTAAAAATAGCAGTTATTATTTAAAAACAAAATAGAGCGCCTCGTCCCTCTGCGAGCCCTAGTGCTATAATATTTTTTCTGCAGAAATCACCCCCTGCACCCCTACTCCCACGCCACCACCCACTCGCACCCCGCCCCCGCTGGGCCACTCTGGGACAAATTGCATCCTTAGCTAAAAGAGCATTCGCAGCCTTTCTCTCAGCGAGAAACGTGGCAGAGCGCTCTCTTCCCTCTGAACGTCTGTCCTGTTTCCCCTCCACGATGATAACTCAGGCGTTATTGCTAAGCCCTTCTGCAAGCCGGCACTGAATTATAGCGTCCCAAACATAACCGGCTCGAGCAGCGCCTCGATATTCATTTGCCAAGATCTCCTCCTGGGGGTGGAGGGTGGGGGATACAATTTTAAATAATAAGAACTCCAAGCCTTCTGCAAGAGACCTCGTTCTCCTGGAACGAACGCCTCGATTTCTTTCCAATAGGGGTCTGAGGTGGACTCTCCCGCCTTGCAGTCGCTAAGCGCTAAGAAAATCGATCTTGGCTCTATTTGTGTCTTATGTTTGCCACCCCCATTTCCCCCCGGAGAGCGCTGGGTTTGTTTATCTCTTTATTTATTCCTGGGGCTGAGGCGTCCAGGACGGGACTGGTGGCTGCGCAGACCCGGCACTGATAGGCGAAGATGGAGAGAAATTAACCTCCCGCCGCTGCCCCCCAAGTCAAGCGTGACAGCGCGCGGGCCGGTTGCGTGACTCGTGACGTCTCCAAGTCCTATAGGTGCAGCGGCTGGTGAGATAGTCGCTATCGCCTGGTTGCCTCTTTATTTTATTGGGGTATGCCTGGTAATAAACAGTAATATTTAATTTGTTGGAGACCACAAACCAACTTCGAGCTGGGAGGTACAGTGCTCCGTCCTGACAGACGCTGGTCGAAGGCCTGGCCTGAAGAAGCCCCTTTTGGGGATCCTTTGTAAAGACTTCACCCAAACCCTCCTCCCCAGCGAGGTGCACCCCTGGCTTTTACGCTGGAAAGAAGAGGTGGGATTTTTGGAGGTGAGTGTCTCCTGGAGAACTACGGGAGGGGAGTTTCTTCCTGTCCACAGCCCCCTGGCTTTTCACCCCATCTTGGTCCCGCAGAATCCTCCCTCCCTGCACTGCCACTTTTCTCAAGTGAAATCAGAATATCTTCCTGTGTCATCTGGCCACAGTGGATTCTCCCAAAAGGTTTAAAATTCCCAGTTTTGCTTGGCGGCCCTGACCATCTGTGCTCCAGGAACTCAAGAGAATCTGGCTGGACTTTGACTTGGGGGAGTCCCGGCTTTCCCTCTCAGGAGGGGCCTGCACATTATTTATGGGAATTAATTTTATCCACAAATCTCTGAGAACTTAAAGGGATTGGGGAAGTCTTTGTGGATTTCCCCTTCCTTCTACCAGCGATGTAGAAATTCAGGTTTATTCGGGTGCCATATATGTACATATATATGTGTGTGTATGTGTGTATATATATATATATATATATATATATATATCTTAGTCTTGGGGCCTCTGGGCTGTCTTGGAAGGTGAGGGTGCTTCCACAGATAAATAAATTGCCTTGGCAAAGGTCTGTTTGAAAACAAACCTGGAAGGTGGTGTGAGAAGGAGACCTGGCTTTTTCCCCAGTTGCCCCACATGTAGGTCTGGACATTCCCTTTTGGTATTTTGCAGTGAGGGCCTGGCCTGCGACTCCAGCAGAGTGCCACAGAGGGCTACAAGGCTGCTGATCTCTGGGGCATTTCTCTTCCCTCCATCCCTTCCTCCAGACCTTCGCTGGCAGGCGCAAGTCTCTTATCAGAGCCCCCGAAAAAGCAGGATGGTAGGGTATGGGAGGCAGGGGTGGGAACCAGAACAAGGCCCCTGACATTTTTATTCCAAGCACTGAGGCTGGACATCCCAATCTGGGTCTGCTCAGACTGAGACCTACTGACTGTGTTTATGCTTTTATTGACCTCAACTCACCCTCAAAACAATACATTTCAGAGAGGGGAAGGGCAAGAGAGGAGCCCAGTGGAGATGAAAACCCTGGCCAGTCCCCAATGACTGTTTGATTATTTTCATAAAACTGGGCACCGACTTGTGTACACCTGGAGCTGGGGAGGTCTGGGGGCCCG